TGATTGATCAGTTAGACTGCTAGTTAAAATTTGTTAATTCCATATAATTTTGTACAATGAATTGGTGTGGGATGTCTAATTTTTTGGTACACTCTTACACATGACTACCTTTTTTTTTAAAAAAAAAAAAAAAAAAACTAACTAACGCAGCCCAGCAAATAAAATAAAATAAATTGATCAGTCAATTTATCATCCAATTAGTTCAACCTAACTCACTTGCAGAGTGTCTAGTTTTTTAACACATCCATATACATAAACTACCCTTGCAAAAAGAAAAGAAAAGAGAAGAAGAAAAAAAAAGAAAAGAAAGGGATTCGAGGCAAATTCGAGGCCTCATGCATTTTCCTATATCATAGTGCTGTGAGGCCCATGTGATCTTGTCCTAGGCCCATATTATTGATCTGAACCGTTCATATTATAAGGTTTATTGAGTAGATCACGAAAAAATTTAGATTAATTGACTATCTATAACTTGAAAATAGGATCACATTTATTTTTACAAAAATAAAGGTTAGCATAATTTTAATAATTTATTTTAAAATAGTTAGGACTTGATCATGGGATTACATGTGCTCGATTAACTTAATTTTTTTATGAATAATATGTTTGACGAACCTCACAATATGAATGATTTGGATCACCAAAATAAGTTCGGGACACATCTTCATGAGACTGCACACAACATGCACCCTTTACCCTTAGGAAGCAGCTTGCCTCCAATCCGAGATCAGACTGGATGGTATTATTCGGCCCATGGGGGCCACTATGGGTCCCATTTTGATCATCTGAACCGTTCAATGTGTAGATTTTGTCAAGTACTGTATGCTTGTAAGATATCACGTTGGTCGGATATCGATAGCTATCTCATCGGATTAGTTTTTTGTCAATCGTTAATTTGTTCACTGTTTTTTTTATTATTATTATTTGTAAAACTGATTTGATCACATAACTATCGATATCTGATTAACGTGATTTTTTTACAAACATATAGTACTCGACGAGTTTTACACATTGAACGATTCAGATTATCAAAATGGAACCCATGGTGAGCCTCCACAAACCAAACAATACCATCAAATCCGATCTCAGACCGGATGCAAACTGCTCCCTTACCCTTATATTGTAAGTTTTGTCGAATGTATCAACTATGGAAAAAATCCAATTAATCAAACATCTATAATGCCATAGCAGATCTAATTGTTTAAAAATATTATTAAAATAATATTAACCATATATAGTTTTTTAAGAGCAAATGTACTTTTTGTTATAGGATTACAAATATTCAACTTAAATTTTTTGTATGAATAATTTATTCGACAAATCTTATATAGTGTAAACTATTTGGGACTGGCTTCTCTTTAGTTTTAAATTGGACTGGAGAGGTGTTATCCGGCCCATGGGTTCATTTTTGGGTTATGATTCGATGATTCGCACAGTTCACATTTTAAAATTCGTTAAGTACATTATATTTGAAAAAAATAAGTTGATTGGATAACGGTAACCATATGTTCGGATCAGTTTTATATATAAAAAAAAAAACAGACGATCAGAAAATAAACAATTTATCCCAAATTGATCCAAACAAGTGATTTTCTGTTATCCGATCGATTCGATTTTTTACAAAAATAATATACTCGATGAATCTTAAAATGTGAACGATTGGAATTAATAAAACAACTCTAAAAAATGAGCCCAATAAGTCGAACTGAACTATCCACTTAAGCCTCCGTTTGGGAAGTGAGTTGACTTTTTAGTTTTTTGACTTTTTTGACTACTTTAGCCTGGGCTAAAAAGTTTGGTTTGAAAAAGATTTTTTTGGCTTTTTTGACTGTTTTTGTGAGAGAATAGTGTAATGATTTTGGGTTAGATGTGATATTTTGTTTGTTGTGGTTAAAATAACTTATTTTGTCATTTGTGACTATTTTAGCCACGAACCAACTTGTCAAACAATATCAAGTTCAAACTATTTATACGTGGACAAACTTAATAGTTTGTTTGGTTCCTATTTTCAGCATTCACTTTTTAAAAAGTTAAAAATTTTAATTTTTTGTATTTTTTTGTGTTCATTGAATTTTTCTAATATTATAAGCATTTTTTTTTTAAATTTTTAGATGCACTTAACATAAATACACTTAAAAAATATAATATTTGTGAATTTTTTTTTAGAAAATTCACTAAATACCAAAAATATAAAAAAAAATACAAAAATACGAGAATTCAATATAATTTTTGTATTCTTGTATATTTATAAAATTTTAAAATAATTTTTTATAAATATTTTACATTTTAGATACATCTAAGTAAAATAAATATAAAAAATAAAAGAAATTACTTAAAATTTTAATAAGAAAAATGCCTCATACCCCAGTGGGGGTCACTGGGGGTCATGAATGGAGGCTTCTTTTTGGTCAAAAAGAAATTTTTTTTTTTTTTATGATTTGGACGAATGGGGGGCTGCCACCTCATTGGGGGTCGACCCCCAGTGGGGGTCTGTAGCAAAGTTGTTTTAATAATATATACTAAAAAAAAATATATAAAAAAAAATAATTTCCAAAAAATTAAATCCAAAAACTCGAAACCAAACACAAATGGAATCTCATAGCAGGAATCTCAATTCGACTTGTAAAAAGCGAACCACGCTCTCCACTCATACCAAGTCATTTCAGTACTCTCTCTCTCTCTCTCTCTCTCTCTCTCAAGTACAGAACCAATTCACTCTCATCATTCCTTTTACACCCAATTCTCATATACATATTTGGGGGGTCAGAGATGTCCATTGGAAGAAAACACAAACTGGGATTTCAAATTGTCTCCACATTCTCACATAAAACAGAGAGAATGAAAATGGGTTTGGTTGGGGGTTGGGTATGGGTGAACAATTACAGCAAGAAGCAATGCCGGAGACTGAGGGCAGCGGTGAAGAAGGCGGTGAAGATCAACGGTGGTGGCGGAGGAAAGCAGCAATTCAAGTTCAGGTATGATCCATGGAGTTATGCTCTCAACTTTGATGATGGTTTTTCTTCCAATTTTGGTGATCAACAAAGAAATGCATTCCACAACAAGACTCAACTTGAGGATTTCCATGAAACCTTTACTTGGGTTTATGTTCTTTGGGTATAATATACTACTCCTCTGTTTCTGTTTGGTTTACCAGAATCTATAGATTTCATTTCTAATATATTTTTCATCATTTTGTTTAGACTTTGTTTGGTTGGAGGATTTAATGGGGAAAATAGAAAGTGTTTGTTTGGTTATAATGGAATTTGTTTGTCTTGCTTGCTCTTTGTATGAAATTTTGGTTTGAGTAGATATGATAAGTTGTCCATAGTTATATGCTAGAAGATGGTTTGGTTTTATTTCTTTTAATTTCATTCTAAGATAGCATTTGCCCAAACCCGACTGACCCGACACTGAATTCCGGGCCGGCTGGCCTGGCCTGAGTTTGCCCTTGGGTTTGGCTCTTTGATTTGAAATTCCACCCGGCCCGTGAGTTTGTCAAAAATCATGGAAAAAAATAGAGAAAAAAAAAAAAGGGAATACATCTTAGCCAGTTGGTCTAAGCCGACGGGTTGGCCTGCAAGCCCGGCCCATTGACCCTAACGATGGTCCATCTGTCTGACCTAACCTGCGAAGATGAATTTTTGATTTTTTTTTTTTTTTGTTTTTTGCACTAGAAGAATAAAAAAAATAAATAAATTCAAACAAAATATCACATCAAACCTCATAATCATTTCACTTTTTCTCTCACAAATATTGCATCCAACCATAAATTTTTTTTAATTACCTTCCTAAACACAATTTTTTTTTTTCTCTAATAATATCCTACAACTAAAGAAACCTACAAAATAAAAAAAATCCCAAATACTCACATAATCTAGTTAATAAAATTTGCAATCAAACATGGAATTGTGAGTACATAGAGACTAACCATCCCAATCCAATATTATAATTCTATTAATCAAACATGTCTTTAACTTTTGACTATTGTGTCTTCAATTTTTGTATAATTAAATACCATTCATCTTTTAAAAAAAAAACTCCAAAATTATTTTATAGAATTCAAATGCATAATTAAAGTCTAATAAAGGCATATAGTTATCCCCCCCCCAAAAAAAAAAAAAAAAAAACTTTAAAACAACATTCGTGATAACAGCAGAATCCAACAGCACAGAGTCCAGTCTTCTCTTCCAATTGGAGAATCTAGCCACCACATCCATTTTATTCCATGCAAGAAAAAAATCAACTTGAACAAATGCTTAATTGTATAAATTAAAATGCTAAGAATGTAGAATTGGAAAGGTAAAAGAGTGCTATTCACAATTATGCGCACAATAGCAAGGTTACTTAACAGATAATGGCTATGTTTGGTGTAATTTCTAGTTAGTTGAAAACAAATAATTAGCAAATAAAGGTGAAAAATACCACTTTAATTAATTTCTGCCACTCAATTTCTCAATAATTAATGAGTCATTTAAATGAAGACTTCTTAAATTATTGAGAAATATTACTTTAATCTTTTAAAATATAAAAGTATATAAATAAATTTCCTAAATTATTAAGAAATATCACTTTGTTTTTTAAATTATAAAAGCATACAAATAGACCCTTTAAACTATAAATGGACCTCTTAAACTATAAAAATATATAAATTGCTTCTTAACGGAAGAAGTCAAAGTGAAACATACCAATAGTTTAGAAGATCTATTTGTACACTTTTATAATTTAAGGGACAAAACAATACTCGTAATAGTTTAGGAGTTCAATTTGTATATTTTTATAATTTAAAAGGTTAAAGTGATACTTTTTAATAATTTAAGAAGTGTCCATATAAATAATCCATAATCAATTTTTTAACTTTTTAAAATTATTTTTACTTCACAAACTACACCAAACACTTCGATGCAGACTTTCAAAATAATTGTTTTAAAAAAAAACTACCATCAGCGTTTATAAATTGCACCAAACAAGCCAATTTTCAGAGCACTGACAACAGTAGCATAATGAGTAATATCTTGTTGAATAAAATAAAATGTTAATGTAAACATTTGAATTGAAAAGTGAAGAGCATTGATAATCATCTGTACAAGGTCACTGAACAGCTTTTAAGAGAAAATACAATACCACAATCTTAATCAAAACATTCATGAATAAATACCTACCTACACTACAGTCCTTTTGAAATAAGAGTACATGATTACCTCCCTCAATTCTGTGTATCCATTCTATTCAAATCAGGAATGGGATCGGCAATCTGAGATTGTGTTGTCAAGGCAAACCACTTTCACACCTTTCAAACAGCCGGATCTTCAAGTGTTGCAGTAGCTAAATCTTTTATGCGAGGATAAGCGGCTTTCTCATCGAGTTGGTTCTGTGCCCATAACAGCATCTTTAACAAGCTTGGAAGCTTTGGGTCTGTTGTTCAATTCATATATACACACTTTGAGAATCTTTGAATATTACAATGCAATAATAAAAAAATAAACAAGAATTATTAAGACGGTTAAACAGAGCATTTCATAGATAAGCAAAACAAAGTATACTGATGCAAATAATTTGGTCATTGTATTAAAAGTGAGGCATTCTTTTGCACAATTACACTCTGGTCAAAATAGACGGCAAATTTATTAAACATTGTATAACTGCAATGTCATTGAAAGGTGGAAGAGCAAGAAACATCGCTGGCAGCAAGAACAATTTCTAATGCCAACTCCGGATATGAGAATTCTACTGAAAAAATAAACACAGTCCCAAGTATTTTCTTGAAAGTATCTATCCTCCATTACACCACTTGAAGAACATTGTTTTACAATTTCGGTTATTGTACGGTCATCAGAGTAAATGTACCAAATCAAATGTGGACACATGGGAGTTCCAAATTATAGTTACTCGGAAATTTTGTTTGGGAGGAGAAACCCGCTTCCAACGGAGACAAAACTCATGAAATTTTAAGGAAAACTCTCAGAAAATCATTCCTGAGACGTTTTTGAAACACTAGCATAATATGAAGAAATGTCTATATCACAGAACGTCTCCCATTTTCCATAATAATTTGGGCCATGTTTCTGTTTCCTGCTTCCACTTGCCATATTGGCAATGTTCCAACTATCAAACTAATACAGAGTAACATTCATCATTTGATAATGAAGCAAACTAAAGTAAGAAACATTCATTTGCAAGATCAATATATTAAGTTGTTTATTGCTGGACCAACACCCATGATAAGGCAACTTGAGAAATGTTACCATCAATATCTCCAAATGGTCCCTAACTCAGCACATGAAGAAACATTTAAAAGTGAAACTGAAAGCAGATAGATAGATTCCTCTAATGTCCTGGATGGTTGGCATTGTCCTTAAATATATATATATATATATTGTTGATAATTCAAGGTATCTCTCACCCAACCCAGCCCAATTGGACCCGAGCTAAGGCATATTTGGACAGCCAAGAACTAGGCCCTAGAGGCTTTGAAGTTAATGACCGGACAAACCCCCAGTGACAAGACTCAAACTCAAGACCTTGAATCTTATTCTCAAGTATTTACCACTCGGTCAACCCCTTAGGGTTAGGCAATGACCTTAGATATAATACAAGTTTGCATTAACCAGACTCATTTTAAATTTAATTAGTTCAAAATGAAATCTTTTAACCAATACTAATCACTTGAATTTATTTCGGGTCTAGAGTCTCTTCTAGTCTGGAAAACTTCTTAAGGCCCCATTTGTTTTGGGAGATAGAGTGGAGGGGATTGTTAGTGAGGGGATTAATAGTGAGGAATTGTTAAATTATTTTTATATAAAATAATAAAACAAATAAAAAATATAAAATTAAACATTAATATTTTAAAAAAAATTCCCAATATATAAAAAATAAAAAAAATAAAAAAATTTCTAATCCCCTCACTATTTTTCTAATACCATCTCTACCTCATCCTTACCAATCCCCCTTCCTCCTCCTTACTAGTCCCAAGGGATTACTAGTCCCGTCCCTATCTCTCAAAACAAACACCCCATTCTCAATCCCCTCCTCACTATCAAACCCAATCCCCTCCCTATAACCCCAAACAAACATGGCCTAAAGTCCCAATTCTTGTGTACACAAATTTTTTTGAAAAAATAAAAAATAAAAAATAAAATATTTGAAAATATACAAGCCAAAATAGAAGAGATAAAGTTCATCTAACGCACACACATAAAAACCTCAAATATAACTCAAAGCATTATAGTAGATTAAAATATTAAATATAATGGCCAAAGTAAAAAGTTAAAGTCATCATTTAGAAAATTCATTCTAATAGGCCATGGGGCTTTAACTTTTAACTCAACCACTTAACTCTGGAAGCCTTAACTGCTTTTATATAATTTTACTAGGTTTATATATATAAGCAAAATGCTCAAGTGAAAAATCTATTGTCCATCAAAGCAATCAAAGAAGTACACTGCAAATGCATTCCCCTTGACTACTGGAATTATGAAACCACAAGTCACTGCAAATGATTATACATATACCCTAAACCCAATTGGGTGAGTTTTTGACTTTGAAGACAATCTTTCCTAGGTTTTTCAATCGGTAGAATTTGTTTTACAGTTATCTTGAGTTGCTTGTGATATAAGGCCAAGTAGTCATTTTATACCCAATCCTAATTTTCTAAAAAAAGCTACAAAACCAAGGAGCAACATAGCAGCCCTCAACATTCCCCTCTACCACCCGATATCCCTCTCGCTCTCCTAAGCAGATAATGCCAAACAAAAAACTAAAGTAAAACTAAAAAAATGATACATCCCAAAAAATTTGAAATCCCTACACCACCTCCCTTCCATTCCCACTCTCACGCGTCTTCCTCTCCTTTCCATCTATTTCAATTCCTGAAAAACAGAAACATCACCCTCTCATTATCACACATCTCTCTCGTTTCACCACATGTTTCAATCCTTCCACATCACCCATTCATTGTTTTCTGCCAGCGACTCATTCCTCTCTATGTTTCTCACCTATCTACATTCTCATAATCAGGTAATCACTCATTCCCTGTACATATTCCAAACTGCTTCCTGCTCTTCACAGTGCAATGTTAACACGATTGCTTCCTCTTTATTGTGTTTATGGGTGCTACCACAGAAGCTTATGGCTCACAAACTTTGACTATGACAATTCCAACTTACGTATCTATGTTTCTCGCTTATCGTATTCACTTTCCCTGTATATATTCCCAACTGCTAACTCTTCGTTGAGCTTGAGAATTTTGTGGAGTCTAAGTTAACAGTAGAAACAGCACAAACCTGGTAAGCAGGCAAGTCAGGGTTTTTGGCTGGCATCTTCACTTAAGCGGATTCACATTTACTGATTTGATCTTGGTTTATATATTTGTTTGATGTATGAATATTCTAAACTTCTTTGGTTTTACAGCTTTTATCAATTTGATATCAGTTTTCTATATGGGTAATATTAAACCAAAAAGAAATTTTGTACCAAATTCTCAAAGAGAATTATGTAGTCTTTTAATGATTCTTTTATTTCAAACTAAAAAAAAAAACCCAGGACTATGAGTCACAATTGCAAAAAGGCCATTGCACGTTAACCTGGACGGATTTCCTGTATAAAATTTACGTTTCTAAATCATTTTTCTTTTCTACATATTGTTTAGTTTATGAATATTTTAGACTTCTTGTCGCTGATTCCTCAACGAACTTGGTGACTAACTGATCTATGGTAGTGTACCGGGTTTGTTTCTCAAGAAGATGATTTAGGTTGCCTTGCCTGCGATACCATCTTGGTTTTTAGTGTGATTTGGTTTGTTCATCCGTGTTCTGCATGTCTTGACATAAAGAATTCATTTGCTGTTCATGTTCAAGCGTCATTAATAATTTCTCATGTGGTTTGGGGGATTGCAAGCTCTTCACATAGGAGATCCGTGGCTATGTAAACAAAGTTCTTGAGTCACAAACAGCTGTGATTGAGAGAATCAAATCCTGTATATATCTTTTCTTAAATTCTACACTCACAAGCAGACAATCGTTTCATAATTTTTGACTCCCATGTAAATAAAAATTCTTGACTCACAAGCTAGTGTATATCACGAAGTCAAATCCCATGAAAATCTTTCCTTCTAAACTGCTAGACTCACAATCAGACGCTGGTTAGGAGATAATTATCATGGAAGTAAAAATTTTAACTCTGCCTTAAATTAGGGGATCAAATCCATGGCTGATCTAAAATCTAGCATGTGGTGAGTTAGAAATTTGACGGTTTGGGTTGGGTTGCAGTCTTGCAGAAAGTTTGAGATGTGTCGGCTGAGTTCAAAATAATTAAATTTACAAGTGTCTAAAGTGTTCACATGGTGTAAGTGTGCAGTATAATCACACGCAGAAGCAGCACCTTCTTAGAAAGTCACATAGGAGATCCGTGGCTATGTAAACAAAGTTCTTGAGTCACAAACAGCTGTGATTGAGAGAATCAAATCGTGTATATATCTTTTCTTAAATTCTACACTCACAAACAGACAATCGTTTCATAATTTGACTCCCATGTAAATAAAAATTCTTGACTCACAAGCTAGTGTATATCACGAAGTCAAATCCCATGAAAATCTTTCCTTCTAAACTGCTAGACTCACAATCAGACGCTGGTTAGGAGATAAATATCATGGAAGTAAAAATTTTAACTCTGCCTTAAATTAGGGGATCAAATCCATGGCTGATCTAAAATCTAGCATGTGGTGAGTTAGAAATTTGACAGTTTGGGTTGGGTTGCAGTCTTGCAGAAAGTTTGAGATGTGTCAGCTGAGTTCAAAATAATTAAATTTACAAGTGTCTAAAGTGTTCACATGGTGTAAGTGTGCAGTGTAATCACACGCAGAAGCAGCACCTTCTTAGAAAGGTAATTATCACCCAGTGGACCAAATCAAGAAACCAAAAATAAATAGAATAGATGAGGATGATTGACATGCATGCGCATGGCTATATAATTCTGATAAGAAAAAGAAAAAAGATATGCAGAGATTTCATATTTCATAAATCAGAATAAGTCCTAATTCAAAAATATTGTCAATGGAAAGTTACTGACCTTTTTCATGACTCTGGCTTGTAAGGATGGCTGCGTTCACCTCGCTTGCTGTCTTTAAGCGCTGTGATATGTCCAGAAGCTCTCCAACGGGACAGTTGGTGACATCATCAAAAGCCAGTAGTGCAACAGTTTTTTCCAACTCTTCTAAAAAACTTTGCTGCATTTGATTTCAATCAAACTTAAGCACCAAAACAATGCTAAATACCAAGTTCAATACTATATTTTAGTTGCAGGAGCTTGCCACTAAGAGAATGGCAGTCTTAAAATTTGGCATCATATGCAACTTCAACCAACATGTAAAGAAACAATGAGATAAATGAAGTTCTGCCATTTGGATTGAAAAAATAGTTACAAGGAGAAATTTAGAATTACATTTTCTTCTCCCCTTGGTGCGAGCTCCTCTTGAGCAAACTCCAAAGCCTCTTCTACTTTTCCATTCCGAATCAATTCTATCAACCTTTGCTGCTGGAGATGGAAAAACAGTTGTGGATTTGTATCCAGTATCTGCATATGAAAATGCCAGACAATGTAAAACCTCTAATCAAGCAAAAACCAGGAAAATGTCCCCATCCCCATTATTGCAAAGTAAATTTTGTGAGTTGTATGTAGACTGCATCATAAAAACCAAATGACACATAACTACTGATAATGCCCAAGGTTCAAATCAAATTAATTACAGCTGCTCATAACATTTTACAGTTAACAAGAAACTAGAATTATTATAGAAAACGAGAAGGAAAAAAAAAAAAAAAAAAAAAAATATTATAGAAAACGAGAAGGAAAAAAAAAAAAAAAAAGATTCAAAGCAAACCAGTTTTTTTTTAGAAAATAAAAAAGGCAATATTAGAAAATTCCTAACAACTTTTATGGGATAATGTATCAATTTCACTGATATTAGCACAAACTATGTGAAATCTCAGTACAGAACTCTTATTTCAGGTAAGAGTACCATGCAGTACATATGATGAGCCAGAGTTTCTTCCTAATCAACTTCAAAAAATCAAAGTCAACATTTTAGGCACCCCAAAATACTCCTTTTATTTTCATTGTGTTTCCACAACTATGTCTGGTAAATATTATCTAACTAAAACTCATTTTTAGACAAAAAGAACCCCATTAAAGTGGACCAGAGGATTTCTCAAAAACAAGAAAGAAGCAAACAGAGTTTCAGAAACTAAATGTTTTTCTCATGAGCTGGCATTGGTGGCAAGTATCAGATATTAAATCACAAAAACCTATGATTGAAGACAAAGTATCATCTTTATATGCAGCAACTCCCGTTTCATGTAGAAAAACTTACCTAATTCATGTATAAATTCATATGGATTCAAACTTGTTGCATCACGCGTGCAGTAAAAGAGTTTTGGTGTCTGCAATTTTTATAGAAAATCATGGGCTTTGCTGCATTGGTGTTGAATGCATTTTGCAGATCAAATTCAACTTATATTGTATTTACCAGGATCTTCTCAGCCATCAGGATCAAGTTCTCATTTATATTGTTTTTACAAAATTTCTGAAAAACAAAATTTACCAAAACAATATAGTTTGCATCAATTGTGCCCAGAAAGAAAGCATCCTGTGACCCTTAGCTACTTTAAATGGGTACGGAATTGATTGAAAACAATTTTGGATATTGTTTCTAAATTTTCTTTTCTTCACATTTTGCATCAATTCTCAATGTGTTTTCTTAAAGGAGAAAATCATCAATCTTTACTTTGGAAGTTAGTGACTATTTGAAGATAGATGATAGTCAAGTTTTTTGGAACATTGCTTTTCCCTGAGAGATGAATGATTGGGAACGGGGGAACTTGTTGGATCTTCTTAGGCATCTCCATGCCATCTCCCACATTGGGGAGGAGAGGATGTATTGATGTGGATGAGATTCAAAATCTAGCAGGTTTAAGGTGAAGTCCTTTCAAGAGGCTTTCGTCGAATAGAGAGGGCTATCCTTTCCTTGGCAAGGGGTCTAGAAATCTAAGGCTCCTTCTAAGGTCACATTTGTTGTATGGACAGCAATGCGTGAAGGGACCCTTAGTATTAAAGTAAATTCATGTGAGTTGATTTGATGTTGTACGCGTAAACAGGAAGGAGAGTCAACCAACCATCTCCTTATTCATTGTGTGGTGACCAAATATTTGTAGTTTGTGTTTCTGTGTATGTTTAGACAAAAGTGAATTTTTCATTCCTGGAAGGTTGAAGGATCTTATTTGTGTAAAGGAAAGCTAGGGTGGAAAAGAGAAGAAAGAAAACTTAGTTTTTTTGCACCTTTGGCTTTGATCATTCGAAGAAAACACAATAGAAGGATATTTGATTAGGGTGGAAGAACACATTTTAAAGTTAAAAAGTCAGTTATCATCCTCTCTCTATAGTTAATCCTTATGTAGTATTGATTCTTTCTTTAAACCGATTTTTTATCCTGGTAGTCTTCGGATAAGTGACATGTATAGATGATATATGTCATATCTGTCAGTATCTTTTTTATATACGGGCAGTATCGACAGCACCTACTTGATGCCTCATTTATAAAAAAAGTGCTAAACCCCTAACTCTCAAAGATGTTGAAATGTATGAAGATGACCATATAAATATAGGTTACCATGTATGTATTCAACGTTTTAGTTCTTTTACAATTCCCTTATATAATTTCATTTTTGAAAGTTCTGTGACATCCATAATGTCATTGTGGGAACTATAACACAAACTAACATCATGAAGTAGCTCAATAACTTGAAATTGAAATCATAGTTTGTTACAATGCTACCCCAATTTACCGAATAAATAACTGCTCCAGGAAAGGGTAGAAATAACCTTAGCATTGCTCAACAATTATTGTGTCTAATACATTACAAAATGTCATAAAGAACAACCAAACATTGGCTTCTGCACAATTGAACAGAATATCCTACAATATCTATGTATGGGTTATGAAACAATAATTACATTCAACCAATGGGTAGGCCAACTATCCACAATTAACAATTTATAGTTGCAAAGCATGCATTTCCTTCAAAGATCATAAGAGAGTAATAGATGGATTATTCTACCTCGGGGTTTAAATCATTAACTTTTTCAATTGCATCCTCAACATTCCCACATTGTACTGCCTTCTTAACTGCCATACGATCTGTTATTGTTGCAAGATCTATGTCTGCTGTTTATCTATAAGGAGTCACACATACTCAAATATTTGCAAATGAATTAAACCATCAAGTATTAACACCAGACAAACAAAAAGTGGGAAGCTGTAAGGAGAGGGTAAAGGATACGTTCAGTTCCAGATTCCATTCTGAATTTTTCAGCAGCATCAACATAACCCTCAGTGACAAGAAAGTTCATCACCAATTTATTCATATCTTCTTTCCTAAGCTGTACATCATTGAGCTTTTTCTCCCACTCCTCCTTTGTAATCACTTTCTTTGAAGTAGCCTGTCAATAAAGAAAACTTAGACATAGTCAAAATTGCATATAAAAAATTACCAAGAATATGTCTTCCACAACCACTCTTGCATAATGATGTTGTATACAATTTGTTTATTGTGAATGTGGCCATTACCATGAAAAGAAAAAGTAATACAATTCAAGAAATTCAACTATGCTATCAGCTATGGCAATGAGCTAAGACAAAAATCAAGAAGTTCAAGTATCCAGTTGAAGAAATTCAAGAAAATATAAAATCCGACATAAATAGTCACGCCTATAGCCCATTTTATTAATAGCCCTATCATTTTGAGACTTTTGACAGTGAACTTTTCCCTTTCCCCTAAAATGGCTTTCTTTTCTCATAGTCAGGGAACTTAATAGTGTGCTATACATAGTTGTCAAATCGAGATTCGAATTGTGAAAATGGACTTGTACCAAATCGCAAATCGAATCAAATCGTGAATCGTAAAGATTCAATCACTTTTTTAAATTACATAGAAAAATATATCTACACGTTTAGATATTAAATATATCTAATAAATATGAAGTATTTACACTTAAATCAATGAAAATGTTATTTTGAATGATGATCACATGATCTGGTAAAAAGTTAAATCAATGAAAATGTTATTTTGAATGATAATCACGTTGTCTAGGTAAAAAGTTAACACAAGTTCCCATGTTCACCACTTTTCCTTTTCCCTTTTAGACACTATTTCTTATCAACCATCCTTAATAAAGAAAGCAAACAAAGACAGATTTTCAATTTTCAAGCAACAATAACTCAACAATAATGTTTCTAACCTTTTACAAGGTTAAGAACCAAAAATCTTGAAACTTAATCAAAAATCTCATTTGATGCCTTAAAATAATTCCTTTTGTAAATGCAAGCACTTGGATAAATTTGAATATTTGAGAGTAAATTGGGAGGGAGAAAGTAAAAATATAGCATATAGTAATCCTAGAGACCTTAAAAAGGTTGTGTGAACCATTTTCCAACAATAGAAAGCCACACATCGATTTTAGCGAATCGATTCACGATTCACCAATTTGGTTCAACGATTCACCAATTCACCTACGATTCATAGTTATTTGCGATTCATGAAACCTGTTCATATCGATTACCCGCTTAATTGAATCGAATCATACAATTCTAATAACAAAGGTGCTATCAAAAACACAAGTTCAGACAGAAAAGCCCATTGTGTTCTAACATAGTTGCTAAAATACATACCCAATTGGCAGTATATGCCACATTTCTGAATTTTTTTTATATTTATTATTACAACATGTCTGCACACAAATACACATTATAGGTGTCGCACACTGTGTAAAATTTAAAATTAAAAAAACAAAAACTGTGACAATTATTTGAAGCAATTTAGATCTAAGAGAATTGAAGCAGTTTAGATCTCATGACAGTCATCATGTTTTGGCTATCTTGGAAAAACCACAAAGCATGACAAATCTATAGGCTTTATTTATATAATAGTATAGATACGTATAGGAATAGATGTTATGCAATAGAAGGGTGGCACACACTGCAATGTGCACCTTATTACAGCCTACCCAATTTTCTAGTACCTGATTATCTATAAACAACCAACCATTATTCCCACTAAACAAACTATCATCAACTACTCCTACCTACTAACCACCACTTCCTTCCTCTATTTGATTAGCCCACTATTTCAGAATCCCTCAAAAATTGGCATGTTATGAAAAATTCCACTTTATCCCTACTTGACACATTGATATGAAGCCAAATGTTAACAACCACCTAGTTTTTGGGAAAATTTTAACTACCCACTATTCAAAATCCCTCAAAAATTGGTATTTTATGAAAATTTCCACTTTATCACTACTTGACACAATAACATGAAGCTAAATGTTTAACTAGCAATTAGTTTTTGGGCAAAATTTACAACCTGAAAGGCTAATAAGCATAATTCATGAAACCCTAGAATCTAACATAAATGATTGGAGATGAACAAACACCTATACCTATCATCAGATCCGTACAATCAAGCAAGTTAATTTAGTGAAATTAATCGATAAATAGTTGAGAAATTACGAACTGGAAATGAAGATGAAAAGGAGGTGATTAGGGTTACCATTGCTTCAATCTCAGCGAGTTGACGAATGACAATCCAGAACAATGACATCAGTACACCAATTTCAAACCCATCCAACTTGTCTCCCACAAACTGCGTTGTTGAAACTTGAAAACAAATCTGATTCGAAACCCTGAAATTGAGCTCAAGAGTGCGTATATATACACATGTATATGTGTATGTAGATGTATTTTGCGTATAAAATACAAACTACCATCAACTACTCCTACCTACTAACCACCACTTCCTTCCTCTATTTGATTAGCCCACTATTTCAGAATCCCTCAAAAATTGGCATGTTATGAAAAATTCCACTTTATCCCTACTTGACACATTGATATGAAGCCAAATGTTAACAACCACCTAGTTTTTGGGAAAATTTTAACTACCCACTATTCAAAATCCCTCAAAAATTGGTATTTTATGAAAATTTCCACTTTATCACTACTTGACACAATAATATGAAGCTAAATGTTTAACTAGCAATTAGTTTTTGGGCAAAATTTACAACCTGAAAGGCTAATAAGCATAATTCATGAAACCCTAGAATCTAACATAAATGATTGGAGATGAACAAACATCTATACCTATCATCAGATCCGTACAATCAAGCAAGTTAATTTAGTGAAATTAATCGATAAATAGTTGAGAAATTACGAACTGGAAATGAAGATGAAAAGGAGGTGATTAGGGTTACCATTGCTTCAATCTCAGCGAGTTGACGAATGACAATCCAGAACAATGACATCAGTACACCAATTTCAAACCCATCCAACTTGTCTCCCACAAACTGCGTTGTTGAAACTTGAAAACAAATCTGATTCGAAACCCTGAAATTGAGCTCAAGAGTGCGTATATATACACATGTATATGTGTATGTAGATGTATTTTGCGTATAAAATAGGTATATAGGTGTTCTTGTGAATATACGCCAGTGTGTGTGTATATATATAAACTAGTGGTGTGGCACATGCGATGCATGTGCAATTCAGATAAATAAGCATAAAAACAAATAATAAAGAAATTAATGCCATAATATGTATATTGTCTAAATGGTAAGAGTGTTCTTAATGAAACCCAAGGTCTTGGGTTCAAATCTTACTCATGCCTTTGAATAACATTTTTTTATTTTAGGATAGAAAAATTTGCCACGTGGCAGAAGGAGAAGCGACCACACTATTAGACACCAAGTCCTGTGCTCACATATATAATAGTATAGATATATATGACTACTAACACGCGAAGAATGGAGGAAGCAAAAGAGAGGGAAGGCTCTGTTTACACACCGCATAACATTTATTTTTTATTACAATATTAATATAAAATAATCATATATCATTTATTTTTTATTACAATATTAACTTAATACGCAAAATTACTATAAAGAATACTAATAAATATAGTACACACTTTTTTTTCTTTCTAAAACCTTATTTACGTATCTTTTTTTTTTCTTTATAAAATCTTATTTACGTATCTTTTTTCTCAAGAACCTAAAAATCCTGAAACAAAAATAAAAAGTTCTTAAACAAACAATAAAAAATATACGTATTATTGAATATTTTGATTAGATTGAATGATGGATGCATCTGCAATATTGGTTTGGAACAATGGAGCAAGGAAAATGTTAGTTTTTCATTTTTTTTTTCGTTTTCATGTACTTGCTGAGTGGTAAACCGTTTGTATTCGTTCTAATACCCAAATTTGAACAATGCACTCGTATTCGACTATCTATAACCGAACAAGTTCTAATTGTTCGATTTTCTAGTGTCGAACATAATCCATATGTTCAGTTAATAAGTTCCGAACTTATAGCATTTGTTTGGATTTTAACAGTCGAACTTTTGAATTTAGTTCGACTTTGTAGTTCCGAACACTTATGACATTTTTTTTTTTTTGGTTTTTCCAGAACTGTTTATCCATGGAATGCAATATTGTTGGATCTGAGTGTCTTGTTGACTACACAAGTCAATTTATTACTAAAGACGTAGTCTCATGTCAAAAATTAGTATTTTTTCTTTTTTCTTTTTCGCATGTTTAATGACTTTGGTGAATTTGACTCGTAGGTTTTCAAGAGCAAAGAAGAATTGCTCAGTTGGGTACGAGACATTGGAAGGAAAAATGATTTTGTGATTGTCATCAAGACATTGGACTATGGTGGTGGTCATAGGACACAAAAGATATATCTTGCCTGTGAGAGAAGTGGTCAATACAGAACTCGTAAGAAATTAAAAGAGATAATTCAAATAAAAAAATTGTGAAGTTAATGGGTACAAAAAAAAGCGGGTGTCCCTTTGAGTTGAGGGCTCGTAAGTTGATGGCAGATGATGATTGGATGCTAGATGTAGCATGTGGAATACATAACCATGCTCCTGCTAAACATTTTGAAGGACATTCATTTGTAGGGAGATTATCTAAGAAGGAAACATCATTATTAGTGGATATGTCCAAAAATATGGTCAGACCAAAAGAGATTTTGGTTATCTTGAAACAAAATGATGCTTTGAATGTAACCACTATGAAAACCATTTACAATGTATGTCATAGGAATAATGTTATTAAGAAAGCTGGGAGATCACAAATGCAACAATTGTTGGGTGAATTAGAAAAACATAATTACATTGAGCGGCATAGGTGCGACAACAACACGATGACTATCACAGACTTGTTTTGGGCATATCCTGTCAGTTTAGATTTGCTCCATTCATTTGCAAAGGTGTTGATCATGGACTGCACATATAAGACAAATCTATATCATCTTCCTCTTCTTGAGATAGTTGGTGTGATATCCACTGATAGGTCATTCTCCGTAGCCTTTGCATATCTCCAATTTGAGCGGATTGATAACTACGTATGGGTGTTAACTAGATTGCGTAGTCTCTTAGATGACATTGCTATTCTTGAGGTGATTGTCATAGACAATGAGCTTTCTTTGACGAATGCTATTGACAGTGTATTTTCTACATCTCGACATTTATTATGCCGATGGCATGTTAGTAGAAATATACTGGCGAAATGTAAGAAAATGTTTGAGAGTACGGAGAAGCGAGACAAGTTTATCTCTTCATGGAATTTCTTAGTACTCTCATCGACTGAGCTTGAATACAATGAACGCCTTGTTATGGTACTTATGGATTTTGATCATATCTTGAGGCAGTGTAATACGTGTCATAAAGTTGGTTAATTCCATATAAAGAAAAGTTTGTTATCATATGGACCAATAGTTATATGCACTTCGGGAATGTTACAACCAATAGGTAATATATATTTGTCTACCTTACACTATTAATCATTATGATTTTGATTATTTAAACTTAATTATGATTTGTTTCCATTGTACACAGGGCTAAAAGTGCACATGCAAAACTTAAATGGCTACTTGGTTCTAACCAAGTCAATTTTGAGTGTTCTTGGACCAAGATCCATAGCTTGCTTGAGTTACAGCACACTGATATTACGGCATCATTTGAGAACAGTTTAACCGTTGTACAACACCAGTTCAAACCATCATATTTTAGAGAGCATGTTGGCATTAGAGCATGTATTGATGGAGAGTAAGTGAGCAGATGATGTTGGCATTGATGCTTCAGTATGTGGATGTGTCGTTCGACGAACACACAGGCTATCTTGTGCCCATGAGATTACGGATTACATCTGATAAGGTCGTCCAATACCACTTGATAGCATTAATCCGCATTGGAGGACTCTTGAGATAGTACAAAAGTTGAAGAATGATAAAGTGAATTTTAGTTGTGAACTAGAGTGTGATCTTATACTTAAGTGACTGAATGCATCTGATTATACTCAGAAGTTGGAAATTTTGCATAAGTTAAGAGAGATTGCAAATCCGCAAAGTACTTTTCTCATTAAGCCGGATGTAAAGCCCAACCCTCAAGGTAAGGGACATAAGAAGATTAATGTATCTACGCGTCGAGACCCATGTGCATTTGAGTTGGTTCAATATGGACATAATAGCCACTAACCTATGGGCACCCAGATCCCCACATAGGATTCTGTCAAAGTACATAAAAAATGGCTCGCCAAAGAGAATGTACATGTAATCATTTTTTAATTACATTTTTGTTGATGATAAATTACGTGTTTTGTTGTTCATATGTTGATGCCCTCCCTGTTGAATTGGTATATCGGACTCATACAGCTACTACTTATTCATATGTTGATGCTCTCCTAGTTGGATTGAAGCCATACATACGTCTTATCAAGGATGTAGATGTCAATGACAACTGTGGTTTTAGGGCCATTGTTGGCTTGATGGGGCTTACAGAGGCTATCTCCTAAAAGAATTGCACACACACACACAAAGTCCATTATACTCAGCTATATGGTTCACATGACAGGATTGAAGAGTTGACCCATATTCTATCATACTTTGAGCCCAATCAAAGATATGACCGTTGGATGACTATTCCTGACATAGGTCATCTTGTTACATCATGTTATAATATGGTATTGTACCACTTATCTGCACAACAATGCTTGACATTCCTCCCTCTAAGATCAGTGCCAATATCACAAGTTGAATAGCTTGAGATTGCTATTGGGTTCGTTAATGGGAATCATTTTATCCAGGTATAACACTATGATTAGTTTAATACATTTATCATTTTGTGCTGCATCGGTCTCATACTTAAAATTTAATCAATGTAGTTCATGCTACCGGGACATCCAGTTCCACCGATGGCTAGCAATTGGTGCAAGTTTCATCATTCTTGTGCAGCTGGATGGGATAGTGCATATAGTCGCCGAATTGAGCATTTTAAGAAAGTTGTTCATTCAGGGATAGCTAGTAGAGAGACATTTTATTGTATTAACCTTGATGAGTAATGATGTATTTTGAGTTGAGTTGTAGTTATGTAATTGAAATAGTTACCGATACATTTTGCGTGGGTCAGCCTTTTGAGTTTATTTAATGCACATGGTACTACTTGTTCATTACGGTGTATGAAAAACATTTCTCTAATACTTCTTGTTCATTGCCAAATATACAAACCATGCGTACTTGTTCATTACAAAATATTGGTAGAGTACTTCTTGTTCATTAAAAAATAACAAAAACATCAAAAGAGTACTTTTCTACCATTACAAAATAACAAAACAATATTACCACAAAACCTACTACCTATCATCTACTCGTCTCCTACGATTGTATATTCTAAATGGAATAGAACTAGGTCCACTCTCATCGATTTGTTGACCCTGAAGATAATGATACAGCCTCTCAATGGTCTCACATAACCTATCTGGATCATGAAGACTGGCATCATGGCCCGTCTCGATGATAGAATGCGCAATCTGTAGTGCATGATCAATACGCTGGATCAAGAACAAATACAATTGTAATTAGCTAAACGTTTGTAAAAAATGTAAACAATGTGTGAGCAATATTGTCATACCTCAGCATCCTATACAGCATATCGACTTTCCTGTGCACATGGGTCAAAACTAGATCGATGTGTGGGGTTCTGGATATACAAGTGTGTGATACTTGTATACCACTACAATTAATCATGAACACAATTAGTTGGACGTCTGACTGGGGTACTCCTCTGAGCAGATAAAAAATGATTATCTCAGCTCTCCCATATCTGATCAAGATAATGATACATGACTTTATATCGGCCTGCTGTGACACTTCTAACAGCACGAACAGGATCCAATGGCACAGGTGGAATGGTTTGAACCCTACCAAATTGTCTAAGAACCCTTTTAGGATGATAGGGTTCAACTACATCCAAACACTTCAAACAGCCGCTATAGAATGTGATCTCATGACATGGGTGATGTTGACGACAATCTCGATATGGATCCCAAGTAACCTAAGAAAGAAACACAAATGAAATCTTGATAAGTGACATGTAATGAGAACACTTAATTTAACTAATGTTAATTGTTATACCTCATCAAATGCCAATCTGTCAAGCTCCTCCCGTAATG